TATACGAAATCGATTGCTATCTCAGGTCGACCGGTTGGATAACCGGAATGTAGAGCCGATGATACATTGCGAGCAATTACGAGTGTCAAACTCGGTAATTTCAGCGGCGATTGAAATTCTTCTCCTCGCGTGTCGTTCCGTTCCTCTTCTTCCTCGTCGAAACAGATCACCACTGTTCTACTATTCAATTTAAGGACGATGCGTAAATTACGTATTCAGGACTTGAAACACGCTTCATAATTCCCTTGGTGTAACGCTGTTGCGTAACTTTGCTTCATTATAATATAACCGGATAATTAATGCAGGATTACATTTCTTAGGGAGTTTCATTCCAGGCTCCGGCTAATAACCACCACCGACGTTGGTGTGTTTCGTCCTGCATAATTTCTCGTCGAGTTGTGCACCGGGAGAGGGGGTCAGTTTGTTTAAGGAGTCCTCTTAGCGCTGCCATTTTTTTTTTTTCCAGTCACGCTCTATTTCCACCGGCAAAAGTTGGATTAGATATACGCCGAGGGGAGCTCGTCTCGAGGAATAACAAACGTTACTTCAAACGTTAACAACAGCGTTACTTCACGAAAGTTGAAGTATATATGTATGTGATCGATCGAAAATTGAAGATAGCGCGGTGTGATTCCTCGAATGCAATCCTGACCTCTGGCGTAATATGTTTTTCCTCGTCAAAGAAACGTCCGATTGGGGAAAGTTAACTCGAGCGATTTCGTTTATCTTAATCTCGCGACTCGCGTGGAAACAAGCGTATTATTCATCGAGAGGGAGTTGCGCTTAGCAAACATGAAACGTACGTACACGCCAGTTGTGCATTAACGGTGATGAACGACGCTTCCTGCAACAAATTGCAAGCAATTTTTACATAACAACGAACGCTAATCGACAGCTGAATTATCCCGCTGGGTTATTCTTCGCCGATGATTTTCTAAGAAATCTCGACGACCACTGCCTTTCAACGTCTGACGTTGTCGCGTCACTCGCGTAAACGCTGGTCAACTGACGACACATAGCACCAAATAAGGTTTATCATTTTTCACGAGACAAGTTAATCGTTTAATCCTTTGCAATCCACGAAAACTTTCTTTCTGGCAATTTATTTACGAAGTATTATCACTTCAAATAAAATGACACAGCATTGACAACAATCATCCTGTTGTAAATGGCATTTAACGGTTTTATTAATTACATATCATCAACACCGACGTTTAGGTTTCGTAGTATTGTAGGTAAAGTAATCGTGTATTGTAGGTTTTCTACAACAACTACAGTGTATAAGAGTTCATGATACACGCAATATTTTCAGTTCTCCGAAAACAAATCTTCTTTGTCAATTTGTAAACTTTCATAAGAAGCAATGAGAAATCTGATTTACGTGAATTATTAATGAGTGTCAATCGATTCACGACTGCCTCTGTCCTCGGCAATTTCTTCTGTAATTCTTCGTGTTCTTCCCACGTCGTTATTATAGCTTCCACTCTAGGCGTCTGTTCAGGTATTATATTATTATGTCATTGTTATATCTCGTACAACGCCAAACGTATATTCTGCATTACTATATTATTAAAAAAAAAAAAAAAAAAACAGAAGACATTCGAATGCAAAGATTTAAAAGATATGGATAATTTAACCAGTTGCGCTGGCAACTGATTGCGGACCATAACGAGTGACCAAAACCGTATAAAATAATTCGTCGCTTTCTTTTCGAACTGGTCGGTACGATGTCTCTACCTCTGGATAGAAATGATTAAAAAGTAACAAATTTATTATTTGTTTTGCCTGGATTATACTTCAATGTATACTTAAAACTCAGAAAATATTACAATTTTGGAGCAAAAAATTCTCGGCACGTCATTCCAGCGCAACAGGTTTAAAAGTACCACTTTCAGTACGTTACACTCTGCTACGACCAAATTTCCTCTTTTGAATCTGAAACGCGTGAAGGACGTTCAAAATGATTTATTCAGATAATGTTTCACGCGCTGATGTAACAGCGTCAAACAAATCTACGTATCGCGAACAAATATATATTCTGAATGGCGCTTGTAATTAATGTAATCTAAGTGGGAAATACTCGAGCTATCTGGAATACGTGAGCTGATTTGCGGTTCGCCGGGTGAACGATAAAAGAGAAAAACTAACGACATAGGGAGGAACGATGTTGCAACGAAAGAAATTGCGTAAAATTTCGAAAAATTCGCCCTCGGTCTGGGAATGCGATCGTGCAAGTGATTGGAATTAGTCACAAAAGAATGTAAACGGGACTTTATGAACGTAGTAAAAAACGTTTTTTTTTTTTTTTTTTTTTTTTTTTTGTAACACGTATACCTTCCGCGAAAGGCAAGCTCGATTCTTTACTTTCGTTCTTTGCTTCGTTCGCTTTACTTACGTCTCACGGACGGTATTATTTTCAATAATTTACGCGATTCCATTTCTATCTCGCGAGATTGTTACGTTTTTTACAAATTGAACCAAGTGAAAACAAGAGATGCTTCGTATATATAGACGTATACTGACGTTCTGAAATAAATCATATCGATGATTCGAATTACAGAGCCTGTGAATTAGAGAAATGTGTGTATTGTACGATATGATGTACAATCAACAGAGTTTATACAATTAATCTGCACGACCAAGCTTATCAACTCGAGACTAAATAATTAAGTGTTCTCGTTAAATAATTAAGTCACTTTCAATTATACATATTTTTGACAGTAAATTGGAGAAAGACAATAACAGGAATTATAAAAAAAAAATCAAAAGATTTGCAAACACATGGAACGTAAATTACGGATGTTTATTTGTACTGTGCAGAAATATTCTAATATTTGCTTTCGGTTTTATTTTTTATTTTCTTTTTTATGGTTTCTAACAATTTACAATTCAGTGTAATTTGTGCAGTTAGATATCGTCTAAAGTACTTTATTATTCATTCTTTGCAGAGTGAAAAATACTGTCGCAGATAAGGCATAAAATATTTAATCTATTGTAATTGCACGTTTCGTAATATCTCTCTTTATACTTTTGTTTCCGTTTGGAAAGAAAATGACTTCCAGTCTCTCGTTTGTTTTTCCTCGTCCAAGAGTGACTTTTCCTTCATAGCCGCTGGTCAAAATTTTCACGATTCTGATCTTTTAAAGCGCGTTTATCTCTCAGATAATACTTCAAGTCCGTTCGTAATGAATAGATGGAAGTGGCACGAGTTTTCTCACCGTGTTCCCGTTGCAAGGTTCCCGGTGTCTTCTCGCTTGTTGCCACGCCTTGCGATTCGCTTGAATTATTCATGGAATAACAATTCGCTCGAATTATCAAATGGCAAATGCAACTCGTTACGGAACAATCGCTTTCCAGGAGTGACTTTTCTTTGAACGGAATGATTCGCGGCTCACTGGGCGCGCGTTATCTTTCGCGACAGAATTTACGAAATGTCCACCAGCCGTGACTCGAAAAGAATCCAAGATTCTCCAGGAATTTCTCCTCTAGGGGGAGGAAGAAGAAACAGGCAATTACACCGTGCAATCGTGTACCCGTGGTTGCACATTTCAACTGTCGCGATCGCGAAGAATGCCAGAGAGAAGGAAATTTATTACTCGTCTCGCGCAATCAGCGCACTTTTCAGTGGAAAAGTTGACTTGTTGATTTTTTTTCTCTCACTCCGAGCTGCCGTTTTTTTCCCTTTCTTTTTTTTCATATCATCCGCAACGAAGCGTTAAGCAATTGATAACGGTAGTAAAACTCTGCAGCTGTGATAAGGGAACGAGAGAGAAATGATGGTGGAAGCGATGATACTGCGAGAGAGAGATAGAATTTACTCGTCTGCCGTTCCTTAAATAATAAATATCCTAGCGCCTGGGAAGATTCCTTTTGGTCCCCCGCGAAGAGTCTTCCGCGTTTCACACTCTCTTTTCCCGGTTTATCCCCCGTTTCACGCGCCCATTCGTGAAGAGAGTCAGCAAAAGGAACGGGTCATGAGACTTTTACGATATGAATTTAGGTTTCAATAAATGACGAGCTTCTTGCGGCACGTTCCTCTTAAAAGGTTACCTCTCCCGCCTCCAACTATCGACGTTTGGTAATCTTTATGGGATTTGAAGATCTCTTAAATTTCCGTTATCCGCTTTACGATATCGGAAGCTGAAACTTTCAAAGGAACTTTTCCATAATGTTTATGATTCTCTGTGTGTTTATCGGTCGATTCTTTTCTCAAATTTAAAGAACCTGAAATAGACGAAATTCAAGAATATTAAATTCAATAGACGGAGACGAACGACACAAATGTGACGACAATGATGGATGAATTGTTCGTCCGGTTTCTGTATTTGGATAAAATATGTCATTAAATAATTACAATAATAATTACAATAATAATGAAGGTAACAATCAAAATTTAATATTATTCGTTCGAGGGGAAGCTCGAAAACGTTTGGTGATTTACATTAAAGCAATCTCCAAAACCTTCAGTCACAAATGGTACAACTATGAGAAACATTATTAAAAACGCTTGTCTGGTCAACAATTGAAAGAATCGTTATCAATTCACGTTCCTGGTCTATTAAGTTCTATTCGAATACGTCCCGATTAATTGAAATTTACTATGTTCACAAAAGTAAAACACCAAAATCAATAAGACCTCTTCGTCACGAAATAGTTGGTAAGAAAAGTTCAAAAGCGTTCGACAGGCAAGAAAAAAAATGATCGTCAACAGGGACATGGCTCTGCTCGAAAATCCCAGAAGAAGGGAAATTATCCGAAGGATCGCGCGCGCGATTCACGCGCGATCGATCACGATTCCTCGTCACGTGCTGGCTGGAGAGATAACAGGCGAAAAAGGTTCTCAGCGTGAGACGTTTCGCCTTGGTACCTCGGCGGAGATAAACGGTTCGCCGTCGCGGTCGCAGAATTAATCGACAGCCAATCAGGCCGGGGGAGTGTTCCGGTGTCAGACCAATGAACAGCGGCGCGTTATCAAGCGACTAGACTCATATAACCGATTGCGAGCACCGTCCGGCGTGCACAAAGGATTCGGAAACTGTCGATCTATCGTCGATTTTCCATCGATCTTCCTTGGGCAGGATAACAAAGGAGCAAAGTGGCGCGAGCAGTCACTTTGTTCACTGGTCACTTTCGAGCGAGGAAGGAAGCTTTTTGCACCAGGAGGGTCGGACTGTCGCAGCGTGCCGCAACCGCGCGTGCAGCCAACTGTCAGCGGAAGGCCGAACGGTAGCGCGATCGTTAGAAGCTGTGTTCGTAAGTGGCGCGCCACGCGTATCAGTCGGTCGGCTGATCGTCGAGCGATTCGGCCGCGTGCTGTTGTTCCCGCTGGGTGAGAGAGAGACTACGGGGCTCGAGTTGGAAACGAGCTGCTGCTGGCGAGCAGTTGAACCAAGGCCCGAGGAGGTTCGAGGAGGTTTCGACGTCCAACACGAGGGCTGGCCCAGCAGCTGGCTGCTGCGAAACCCCTTCCAGGAAGCCGCGATGCCAGCTGGACTTTTGATCGTTGTCAGCGTCGTCGGTCTGATCGCCGCCTTGACCGATGCCGCCTCGATCGGGCACGCTGCGCACGGCATCAAGGCCACGGACTGCTACAGGTGAGTGAAAGGGAAAACGACGAAGGTGCAAGGCGCCGCTCGAATCGCCTCCTTCCTGCCTCGAAAACCCTCCTCCTCCTCCTCCTCCTCCTCCTGCTCCTTTTTCCCTCGTTTGCACGAAACTACTAGATACGCTCTTGGCCCAGATACCTTTCTTTTTCCTTCTTTCTTCCTTTTCTCCTATGAAAGTACAGTTTCTTTGTTCTTTCCCTCTCTCGTTTCCTCGTTCTTTGTTTCCTCGTGCATTTTCCGCTCCTGTTCATCAGGGATGAACTTGTTTGGAAAGGAGGACGTGGGTTGAGCCGAGAAGAGACACGAAGCTGCTTGCTTCTCGACGGATTGTCGATCATTTGGATTCCCAGACAGACTAACGACAATACGAGGGAGAGACTAGGGATTTCTATAATCATTCAGTAAAGCTAAAGCCTGTCGAGTCAAGTTGCACGAGTTCAGACGATTCGCAGTCACTTCGCCAGCGTGTAATTCTTTCGATCTCGTCTATGTAGTATTCGACTTTGAGTCAAATAATCTGAGACAGCGAGACAACTTAAAAGGGCAAAGTATCAAGGTAATTTTGCTTGAAGAATAATCGAAGACTTCAATTAAATTGTTCTTGTTAAATATTCGTACATGCTAAAATTCGCACAAATTATGCAAGCTGCCGAACCTTCGATTAATTAATCGTGCTTTCAATGATAGCGATCGATTGAACAAATTCATTTCAAGTCCAAACTGCCCAGGTTGTCGAAACGAAACATAAAATTCTTCTGTTTTGTTAAAAAAAAAGGAAAGAAGAAGTGACGATCTCCTTTCTATTCCACTTGAATCGTATCGATACCGGGCTTAACAAAGAGAAACGAGTCAACGTCTCGTAAGACGATAATATTACTTGAGAGCGAGTTATAATACTATAATGTGTTAACATCAGCTTACGACCAGTGTTTATACATTTACGAATGGCATTTTCCTTTCACCTCGCTTACGTTATGAAAACGTAAATTTTGCAAATTATTTTGGTTTACCTGTGTACCGAAGGAGAACGAGATTAATCACGATGAAACGAAAATCGTCAATATTATCTGACCGCGGTGTAGTTTCGTTTATTTCTCTCTCTCGAATTTTTGACTCTTGAAATTTTGAATTCCTGAAGATTCCGATGGAAGATCGTCGAGTCACTCGTCAGAGTTCTAAAAATTTTTGCGAAAATTCGGGATTTTGACAAAAGGTGAACATCGTCGCGAAGAAATACGCTTGGCTGGATAAAAAATATAAATAAAATATATTTGTTTTGTCCAGTCGCAGTTAAAAATAGAACGTTCTACGAGATAAATTTGCCCCCTCCCCCTCCCCCTCCGGGTATGTTGGTCATGTCTGCCCCGGTTAATCACGATCCGGCGAAAGAATTTGATAAATTCCAGTTTTCCGTGGAAACGAGTTTACTTGCGATTTATTTATCGCGCGCTGCAAGGTTGCCATCTAACTCCGTAGGTACGTTCGTTAAGAACAGTACTTAGAATAGTTGTCCTTTTTTATGCAATCGTTTCACTCGAGTTACGAGTGTCATTACCGTCATTACTTGGCTTTTTGTCCAAGGAATCCGACGAGAAACGAGAACGACAATGAGATCGATTTACGACATAATTTCTCGCGGGCATAAACTCTGCGTCTGACGTGAAAATTCTTGAAAAAGTCGCGACGATGATTCATCTCAGACGATCTGCATCTGGCTTTCGCTCGTTGTGAATTTGTTCGTGAAATTTGTAACTTTGTTGTTCGCGGAGAGAATATTTCCTCGCGAAATGTATCATAGATAAATGTGGAGGAACTTTGGTATTTTGATAATTTCAAATATCGGGAAGTAAGTTTTTTGCTGTTTAAATATATATTTGGTTCTAAAAATATTAATAAGCCGTGAATTTCGCGTTATCGAATTGTTATCTCGTATTACGTCGAAGAGCGTTACAGTACAAGCATCGATCTTATTTATTTATTTCATGCACGCGTGAATTGAATAATGTCGGGATGAAAAATAATTTATTAGATTGATGGACAGAGGCAAAAATTTTCGATCCTCTTTGAAACTTTTGAAAAAGCTTATTAATTTTGAGGCTTGATAATTGCTCTTTCATCCTTCAGGCGATTGTTATCGTTGACCTATATATTACAATGTTTATCTACAGTGACTCCCATTAATATTCGAACACATAAATATTGATACTGTTACAATTTTTGTAAAAAGAAATCGTGCAACGATAAACTTGGGCTCACTTCAAAGTTCGAAGCCTCGAAGGATTTAAAAATTGTCTTCATGTATTTGATAAATTTCTAGATTCGATGTTTTCGAAAACGAGGCATCTGACAAAAAATCATTCTACTTTTATTTTCGTAGAATAACCTTCTGTCAATTACTCTTTCCTAGAATCAGTTAAATTTAATCATACCCGATAAAATTTTTAAACTAGATTTTCTCGAGAACCAAAGGTTTAATTAAAAAAAATTGTACTCATTTTTTCACACAGAATCACCTCTTACTCAGTTGTATCATTAGTTGCAGTTATATTGTCAATAGAGCCCAAGTTTGTACGATTTCTTTTTCAAGATTGTGACAAACAGTTTCAACATTTAGTGTCTAAATATTAATGGAAATCACTGTGTATTTTCATCAATTAGGTTATTAAACAGCCCGTCAAATGAATTGGTGTGCACAGCTGATTCTAGTATAACGCAATTCAAGCACGTCTATTTGACCATTCATGATTGCACGCGACCATACGCTGTCTTATTCGACAGACAAATAATGATCGTTGACAACGTGTTTCCGATTCAAACGCTCCGTCGTCGTTGCAAATAATCGAATGTCCTACGATTTCAATCTTTCAATTAATGGTGACTTTATTACCGGCGCGAGAAATTTAGAGAAATATATCGCTTTGGCCCCTCGCTAATTTTACTCGTGTCGCGTACAATAGCACGAAAACAGCTTTGCGAACAATAATAATTTATCGAGAACAAGTAGGTTACGCAAATACGCGATAATTATTGATCGTCGGTGATAACGGTTGCTCTTTCTCTCAAACACGCCGATCTCGTAAACATATTTTTCTAGAAGCGAAAGATCGCTCCAGTTTGATGGATTTCTAGCTGATTTCTCTCGGAGAGCGGAGACTGTCTGAGGAAAGAAAGGAAAGAACGAGGAACGAGCGTATAGGGTACACTCGCTACAGCTGGTGCAGCTTAAAATAAACGACAAGCCAATGGCCGCTGCACTTTCAACGCTATTAAATGTAATTGAACCGACCTCATTGTTCCACCGTGAATTCAGTTCAACGGCTTGAACCTCCGAGTTCAAGGCTAATTCATAATTCATCGCCGACTCCCGATGTGCGATCCCTTCCTTTTTCCCTCTTTCGCCCCTCTTTCGCGATGTTCCGGGGTCTCTCTGACCCGTTAACACAAAGTTCTCCTATTTCGCAGTTAGCAAGTAAATATACATCCCCCCTCCACCCCCGCTTGGAATCAATTCACCTCCAATTGAAAGTTTCCTAGTTTACCCTAACGAACGTGACACGGAAACGCAGTCGAAGACAAATATCCTTCCTCATACGTATGTACATTCGCGACCGGTAACGTAGTCCTACGTCGTTCTAAATTTTTTTTAACTGAATGGCGGTAATGTAGTTCCACGACATTTCAAAATTGGCGCCCTTGTTAATCGTGAGTCTTGTATATCACGCCAAGTGGTTAAATATGATTTTTACAAACTTTGTTTTTACAAACATACAAACTTAATATAATAATAATTTAAACGTACGAGTATTTAATATAACAATAATTTAAACGTACGAACATTTAATATAACAGTAATTTAAACGTACGAATATTTAATATAACAATAATTTAAACGTACGAACATTTAATATAACAATAATTTAAACGTACGAACATTTAATATAACAATAATTTAAACGTACGAACATTTAATATAACAATAATTTAAACGTACGAACATTTAATATAACAATAATTTAAACGTACGAACATTTAATATAACAATAATTTAAACGTACGAACATTTAATATAACAATAATTTAAACGTACGAACATTTAATATAACAGTAATTTAAACGTACGAACATTTAATATAACAATAATTTAAACATACGAACATTTAATATAACAATAATTTAAACATACGAACATTTGCACATTTATCATTCGAAAAGATCGCGACGTACGATGCACTCGTTTTCGATGATAGCGCCATATCGTCGTCAGTCATATTGACGTTTCCTCTCCTAATTACTTTCTTTCCAATCAAACCTAAACCACGTGCATAAATTTTTACTTCGTCTACTTTTTATCATACGTTGCTTGATATTTTTCGCTTACATCAAGGAAACGTTATGCACTATCCAACGCGGTTTTTTCAATAGCCTATGGCACTGAAACGTAATTAAGACCAGCTTCCGTGTCGATTCGCTTTCGAGCAACGTCTCGAGCATCTCCTCCCTCGTGCGGAAGCACGCTTGCCGAGAATCGAAAGCAAATATCCTTCTTAACGTTGGTTGAGCTTATTCGTTACATATTCACGAGAATTTCGGTGTCCCTGCGGGCTGAATCGATTCCCCCGAGGATTTATATCGTGGCGCCCAATCGATCGATGATCACCGTGGAAAACTTCTTTTCAGAGTTCTGCAAAAACAGCGGAAAAATAGCCAAGGTTCTCCGAGTCGACGTCGATGGTGGAAAGTGAAAATTGTTGGGAAAAAATGAAATTCGTCAGAGCGTTTCCTGTGGATTTGAAAGCGTGGCGGTGTCCTCGTTTGTTTCGACAGCGCGAGACGCGAGACGCGTCGTTTTCAATGGGAGAGTACGATCGGGGTATAACCGTCGCCATAAAGACCAGGTTTACGATCCCGATGAAAGTCGGCTCGTCGATATCCCATAAATTCGCCGCACAAATTGATGTCAAGACAAAGTGTCCGACGATAACGGCACC